GGGGGGGGGGGTGGGGTGACAAATGAATTGCGCCGTCCCTTATACTATCTCTTAACGTCTCAGGGACACAGCTCCTGGCATGGTCCTTGAAAGATGCGGCGGTGTTTTGTTTTTTTTCGTCACAGGAACACGCATTGCTGGCGTCGAAAATAATCCCACCAGACTACTTTGCCCCTCCAACAGAGGGATGTCCTTGTCCTTTTTCCTTTTCGCCATTTCAAGCGATAAAAACTCTCGATCTTTTCTCAAATTATGTATTTTTTGGTCAAATGACGCCAAGACGCCTGGCGAAAATGCTGATTACATGTTTACTTTATGATTATAATGATTGTTTCACAGTAGTTCCGTTGTCTTTAATTCTCTCTGTTTCTGTCTCACCTGGTGTTCCTGTCCTGGTCTCGGATCTTCTTCTCCATCTCAGCGTCTGTGAGGGTCTCCAGTAGGGGGCACCACTGGTCTGCATCTCCTGTGTTGCGGATGGCTATCTCTACTGTCGGGAGGGGGTTCTCACTGCGAGCAAACACAAGCATGGCAGCAATGAATCAGTAAAGGGTAAATATAGAAAGACGGGAATGAGACCCCTTGCTCAGATAAACTGGGCCTCCAAATGCAGTGACAGCTGCATTTATTGCTAATGAAACATATTTCATACTGATACCTGAAGGCATAGGTCCTCTGGTGCCAGCTTATCTGACCGCGGATGCTGTAGGCGATGGTGGTAACAAATTCCCCCCCCAGACCCAGCTCAGAGCACAGCTTCAGGGCAAAGGACTCGGGGGAGTTCTCTCTCTCAGACATGTCCCACTCAAACTGGTCCACCAGAGAAATGTTCCCCACATGGATGTTCAGCTGAGGAAAACAGACACACATTATGAACACTCCCATAGGCGCTTTCACACCGGAGTACTTTTCCCCGTACTTTTCCCATTTAGTTCCGATAGTTCCTGGGATTTTGCGTTCACACCAAAAAGAGAACTTAGTTCATGAGAAAGTTTACCTCCTTTGTAGTGCCTGTTAGAGAGGTGGTACTTTCCTTGGGAGAAAAAAGTTCCAATTTCTGATTGACTGGGCGGATTGCAAACCACTCCCCGTAAAACTCGGAAAAGTATTTTGAAGCTGCATATTTGCAGGCATTAGCATTATTAGCATTAGCATTAGCCCTGCGCACCAACGGAGAAAGAATGACTTATGGCAACACAAAAAAAAACATTGGATGAGGAGGTGTCGGCGTTCTGGTGATTTACTAGGAAGCCAGTCCCCAACTCCGGGGACTTCCGGCAGGGGACTTCGGGTGGCAGTATACGCCGTGAAGTTGTTTGCGGCCTGCCAGTAAACCCAAAGCAGAAGAAGAAGAAGCGACGTCAGCGGCTTCATTTGCGTAATCTTCCCTGGGAATTTATTCCGGTGTGACCGCGATCAGCTTTTAGTTCCATGGGGGTACTAAGTGCTGGGTACTAAGTACGGCAAAGTGGCTCTTGATTAAGTCTTTGTTCAGTAACTGTTGCAAACATCTTCAGTTCCCAACTTTTTTATGAAAAAATCTTCTGCTTTTTGAAAAAGAAACATATACAGTATATGTGACCAGTTTTTGATATTCACATCTTCAGTAGCAAGAAATTGGTTGGTATCCAGAGACGGACTAACACATCATCCGTCATCTCATTGTTAATAACTAAAACATCTGATAATGCCTGACTATACTTTAACATTTGTAATACCGACATTATACCCCGCTGTATTGGTTGCATTGAGAGCTACATTTCCTGACATCGATACTCCTAAACAAACAAATACTATTTGTCAGTGCAATTCATCAAACCCTTCAGAAAACTGCTTTTCTACACCTTTTCATCTCTTTTTATCCCCTTTATCTTTCTCCGATGGCAATCAGGTCTGCAAAGCCAGGAGATTTCTCTCGCTGTCCATATCAATCATTCACTCCACCACTCTTACTTCTCTCTCTCCCTCTCCCTGGGCTCTCTCTTAGTTCAGATATCAAATATTAATCAAGGCAGGTAGAGAAGCAGTTGATCAGCTGTCCCATCATTGATCTACCTCCTATAAGCATTGATGCGCCCCATCAGCTGGAGTTATACCTCAAAGCATGTGTTAACTTATTTTATGTAAGTTTTTTTGCCTCTCTTCTCTGTTTTAGTATTTTTACGTATGTCGACATTCCAGTGTCTTTTATGTTCATGTCTTTATGCAATAAAGAACCATTATGAAATCTGTGAGGTTTCAATTCCGAACCAGCCGTCTGCAGCTCAGCCGTGTTAGTGTCCATTGAAATTCAGTCAGTGACCACACATCTGCACTAACCTTGGCTGATTCTTGCCACTGACGAACGGGGAAAGTCCTGCAAATATGGTAATAATTCTCTATGGACCCAAATTATTTAAATTCTGAGTTGGCTATGCCCTCATTCAATGATTTATTTTCTTTACCTGCACATCCCCTCTAAAGGGGAATGAAGCCCTCAAGAGCATGCACTAAGCAGGAATCAGGGTCAGACCCTTGACAACCTGAAAGCACAACATCATTTAGTAACCAAAACACTGTTTCAACCCCGAAAGCTTTTCGGGGAACCTTTATAGGGCTTGCATTTGACCTAGTCAATAGCTCTGGAGTTGATTCCTGAGTAATAGTTCTAACCCAAAAGAAGTTCTTGAAGTAGCACCTTTTTTGGATCCCAAAACTAATAGCGATGAGTTTGCCAGGCTTAACAGCACTAACTGGTGAAACATAGCCTTGAGATTGCTAGTACATGTGCATACATCTCTGTGATGGTCCTTTTCTGTCATGCTTTCAAGGCTCTAGGGTTGGCAATGTCCGTCTGTCGGTCAGTCGAGCTAGATTATTAGTTTACAAGCCAAAACAGGAACAACACATTCCTGCCAGTTGAACAGATGTGCTTCCCTGCCTTGATTTCCCAACTGCATCCCTAGAATCTAATTTCAGTTTGAATAGTGGCTCGTGGAGATAATCAAACACAACTTCTTTGACAATGACCTCTTTCAAAGAAGTGTTGATTAAAATCAGTGCACCATAGGAATACCTTATATACTGTTGGTTTACATTTATTCATTAAAATTGTATGAGTTTGACATAATTTGTATACTAATTGGAAAAATAATTCCAAGCTTGTTTGCATGACTACACCCCCTCTACAATGCGCTTTTTGAAAGATTACGGTATTATCGGTGGAAAGCTGAACTGTACACCATTGCTTTCTCTGTAGCTGGCAGCGACGCAACATTGGACAAGCTGAAGGAGAATGACAAAGAGGTCATTTGGCATGCAGATGAGAGGGCTCTTCAAAAATCCTTGGAAATGTTGAAGTGCACACCTATTGATGTGCCATTGGTTAAGTTTTACGGGCCAATGGTGGCTATAATAGCTTAACCCTTGAATTTTAAATGTTAATGTATTCATATAATTTCAAGTACACATAATATATACCAGTAGAATAATATTAATTCCATCTGCACAATACAGTAATTAAAAGAAAATAGTACACATTTTGTTGGACCAGGATTTGTTTCTTTATTAACTTATTGAGCAAGAGAAATTTATTAGGTCATGGTCTCTTATTAGGTAATGCTTACTCATAACTTCACAGTAATCAACCATTCATGCATAACAGTGATTGTGCAAACTTCTCTGACGTCATACTTAAAGAGCCTGTGACACGAACCCAACAACTGTTGTGCAATGAAATAGTGGGCTACTAGTAATCTCGAACCGTCAGTTTAAAAAAGAAAAAGCGATACCGTTCCGATAAATATCAATAATTTCGAACATCGCGGGAAAATTCCTTCGACTCATTTTGAGGTTTTGGGGGAAGCCGGAAGTGACGTCATTGCGGGAACGCTTCACTGTGCGGCGAGAGAGCCAAACACGGACAAAGTGTGTTGTCATGCGTAGAAATGGTGAATTACTGAGTTTAGGCACGTTAATAACGTTTTAATGAAGTTGACTACAGTATGTTCATATTTGTCAGTGCTTTCATGTCAATTCGGCGAACATAAACATAAATGATCGTGGTGAAGATGATGATTAAATTAGGATTAAAAATCGGTAGTGAGAGCTGCTGAATTTCCTCCCGTCGGATGTGATATAAAAACTAATCGATTATTTTTGTAAACTCAAGTGGATGAAACTACATTTATTAGTGCTTTCATGTCAATTCGGCGAACATATGATACATTAAATGATCGTGAGGATGATGATTTAAAAATCTTTTGTTTGAGCCGGTCTGCATTTCCTGATGAGAAAACAAACCTTAGCTTTTTGTAGTTGCAGTCAGTGGTGTAGTGGGCGTTGGACGCGGGGGTACGCCGTACCCCCACTTATTTGAAGCATGATTTCTTTTTTTAATAGTCTAATAGCCTACATCTAAAATCATTGCGGGTACTATCAGTTGCAAGTGTGTGTTTGTTGTCACCGACCCAGTAAAACATCCCCACTACACCACTGGTTGTAGTAGTACACCAACATGGATTAAACGTGTGTTTTTTTTTACCACAATGTTGGGGAAATTAATGGATAAAATGCACGGATTATTATTATTATTATTATTATTATTATTCCCACTCCGATCGGGACATTAGGTCCACCGTTTCCCCGCAGCGAGGCTCCCCCCGTTGACAGTTTACGTGGGCTGGGCTGGGTGCAGTGGCGGACTGGCCATCGGGACGAATCCCGATGGGCCGGTACCGAAGTGGGCCGGTCGGATAAGTCACTAGCACATCCCCCACTCCCCCCGTTGACAATTTACTAGTGGTACCGAAGTGGGCCGGTCGAGAGTCCCGGGCTGATTTTTAGTCCCAGTCCACCACTGGCTACATGACCGTATGATCGCCCATATTGACGCACCTAATTCCTAAACTTCTAACAGATACAAAATAAACCGATCCTTCAGCCTCATATGAGCTCTCAGACACGTTCAAAATTAAACTGTCATCGCTGTCTGAGCTTGCTGCTGTGTGCGCCATCGTGCGTTTACATGCAGATGCTGGGATCCTGAACGTTGCAGCTGGAGCGCTGTGCCCGCATTGACGTCACCCATAATTTGGCGGGACTTGAAGAATCCCCGAAAAGATCCAGGAAATGGTCAACATTGAAGGGCAGATTAATGGTTATCAAAGTACAAATATCCAAAATCAGTTCAGTAACGGTTTTCAAGGGGACAATATTTACTCAAATTGATGGGTTTGGATGATGGGGGAAAATCGTGTCACAGGCTCTTTAATGCATCCTGCCATATTCCTGCCAACAGGTTGTTGTTTGTTCTATAGTTGTGTCAATGAAACTATAACCAGACAACCGTACAACTTCACAAATGTGAACAACAGAACATGTGTCTTTACTCCTGTGGGGAAAAACATAAGATTGTTGTCTGAACTACCTGGTTGCTGCAGTCTTTCTGACATAAGGTCAGACTTGTGCAAAGTAACCAACATTCAACATATATATCTCACATTGATTTCAAGATTTTTGAAAGTTTGCTGTCTCAAGTCAATCTTTATTTTTTAATGTCCAGTGCCATCCGGGCAGTGATTTGTCAGTTCAAGCATCGAATTTACCTCGTGAAAAGTTGAACATGTGCTAAGGGAGGATGTGGCATAGTAGTGCATCATTAAAGTGGGCTGACAACCCATCTCTGTAGCTCTTGTTTATATACTGTATAATGGGCTGACAGGTTGGTCCAAAGAAGGATCAACACTCCAGGATTTCTCCCAGTGCTGCCCATGACCAGTCAGACACACGCTGAAGAACTTCCACGCCAAGAGGCATGTAGTTTGTGCAAAACAGTGAAGGTACTGTCTGTTTGTGTGATATAAAACCATCATGCAGAACATGTATGGAC